CGCCCCCCCCCCCCAGCGAGCACAACAAACTGAGTTGAGGTCCATGGCAACAGTACAATCCAATTGACCGACACAATCATATTTCACACAGACTAACAAATATCATTCTATAAAATGGCAACAAAGCATGGTGACCATTGTACACAACCACGGATCAAGAATGCAAACATAATAAAAAAATGCATGTGTATGCATTAAATTCACGATTACCCCGTTGCGTTTATATAGTCATAATTATGAATAAACAAGTACGTAGTTAACATCCATAGTAACAATCCACAAATAGTTCTAAGGTAAAGAAACTATCGTTTTACATTTTACTGTTCACAATATTTGTATTTTATACATTAACAAGTAGCTGATCACAAAAAAATGTTACCTGTAAAATACAATTAAGAAAGCAATTGTTCCCCAGATTTCGCAATCCAGCAACAGTTGCCAGAGACTCAGTGGAAGGTTCAGTTTGATCGGATAGCCATGGCAACAAAAAATATCCATCACGCCGTGACCAGCTCAGACCGGCAAGTCCTACTCCCAGCCCTAGGGCACCAGCCAAAATACTTTGAAGTAGAAATGGTTTCGAGGATCCCTTAGACAAGAAGAGTACCTGATACCCATTCTTAATGTTGTTAATGAGCTCGTAGATGCTCACTTCCCTTTTGTGCTTCATTGAAAAGATGATCAGGCTGTCTCCTGCAAAGGCTCCATGAAACGCAATGGTGCTAGCATCGCTAGAAAGACAAAGCTAATCAAAATTAATGAAGCAAGAAGATAGCGACTTCTTCACCTTGAAGGACGCAATCAAGAAGAGGGTGGGCGATTGAGGTTTAGATTGAAGGCCGGGACCGGTGGAAAGGCGTTGTGGTAGCTTCGAAAGGGATGGGTCTTTTAATTTACTCTTCAAGCTACCCACCTGAGCCATGCAGGCTCCAACTGCAGCAAACCTTTGTAGGAATGCGCTTCGACTTTGGATTGGACTGAGGCAGTGGATGTGATGATCGAGCAGCTATTAGGTGGACGACGGAAGCAGAGAAGGTGATGTAACTTTTTTTTAAGAAAAAAATAATCTACATTAATAATGCAACACAACTATCTATAATTGATAATAGGGAAATTTACATACATATTTTATAATCATTTACATATCTAACACTAAAAAATTTAATATTACTATTATACCACCTAAAACTCATTTGTCCGTCACGGCGTATTCTTCCCGCGTGGAAATGTCCCGTACGCAAATAACTCTGCTCGCGAACAAAGTCGATCGGATTCCATCTGCTAACGAAAACCTCTGCTCGTTGCTCGAGTATTCTTCCTTCTTCTCGCTGCTCGCGTCCAGCTGATCGCAATCCTCTGCTCGGCTGCTTGCGATCGGGAGAACAAACCTGCTCGATCGGAATTCCATTTGCTAACGATCCTCTGCTCGGTCGGTGCTGGAACAAGGTTCATTTTTTTTGCTCTGTGGTTTTCTTTGTATTTCTTTATGCTCATTTTCTTTTGCCGTTCTGAGACAGCAAACTCTTGAATGCTGGTGGGCAGGTCTACAGCTTTATGAGATTGGCAGAGCTGTACTATGCTGGTAGCCATGGCATGGACATCAAAGTTCCAGCTAATGTTAGATTGAGTGTGTTAGTCCTTTCAAGTTTGAATATGTGACTGTGTCGGTCCACTTTAGATATATGTGTGGATGGAAAGGTACTGAATCATCTTTTAGTTCTAAGCTTTTTTTTTATTTTTTTAGTTTTTTGGTTTATTTTTTTAACAGGATGAGTTCTTTCTCTCTTCCTAGAGATGGAGAGCTTTAGCCGATCGAGTTAATCGGTGTTGAAAGAGTACCCAAAGCAGTGAAGATGTGTTCCAAGTAGACAGAGTATATTCATGTTGTTTTTAAATATGGAGGGAAATGGGTTCAAACAAGTGAGCAACATAGAAAGAGGTATGACGGTGGAAAACAAAGGAGTGTTAAATTTGATAAAGGTCTACTTACTATTTATGCGCTCAGAAGCGAGGTTCTTCGAATATGTCCATGACTTAAAGGGCATCCATATAATATGTATTATTATATATATGGTACATCACCAAAAGAATATAAATACATAATTTGTGATGTTCAGTTGGCTGAGTTCATAGAAGCATCAAACGATAATTTGCGTGGTGAGATAGTCATTTCAGTACATGATGTTGAAGGACAAGAATCATTTTCTGAGAATAGGGAAGTTATGGCTTCCGAGCAGATGGTTGAATGTTCTTTTAACGAAGGTATTTCAATTGCTCCAAGTTTATCTTATAAGATATAGCTGTTGGCACCTTCTTTCCAGAAGCAAAACATTTCAAGCATGCTCTACGATCGGTAGCCATCAAGGAGAATTTTGGAATCAGGATAAAGGCAAGTGACAAAACACGTGTGATTGCTACATGTTCTTATGAAGGTTGCGAATGGAGAATTCGAGCTTCTCTATGTGAAGACACTCAGACTTTTGAAATTAGGAGAGTTTATGGTGTTCA